CACGTTTCGATCGAACGTGTAGATTTCCCACTGAATGAAATCGTATCGTGATACCACGTCCTCTCCAGGAACGATGATCCCGCAAAGGCTGACCTTAAAACAATCTTTTTTCTTCTTTTATTCTTTTCTCAATTCTTTTCTCAAAGGTAAGAACGTTAATTGAAGCGAACATCTTGTTTGAAAGCGAAGCCCTTGCAGTCTGACTTCTCGTGGCATTCCTTGAAACAATCTTCCAAGGTAACATCGTCGTAATAGTGGTTCAAAGATTGACTAAGGTTGACGTTGGTCATTTGTGCACCCTTGAATAGGGTGAAAGTGCAGGATAGACCGGGAGTCACCTGAAATGACGTAGCATTCTAACTGGACCATTTTTGCGCCAAAAACTGGCTTAGTCTTCTATGCATTCTTATTTTTTGTTTCATTTCTTGTTAGAATCGTAATGAGGAAAGCAAAACATTGCGGGACAACTCAACTACGGCAACTTTGCTCCATTTCGGAGAGAAAATATGGTTATGGAGGATTGCGGAGGCAGAACTACTGAAGTGATCGTGATGGAGTATTACCTGCGAGAGATGCAGAAGCATGGCACACGCTGTGACGCGAAGCGCAATGGAGCACATTGTTCCTGAAGTTCACCTTGTCGGTCGAGTTCGTGGAACGCGTTCAACCCTAAAGTCACCTTACCTCAAGGGCCGACTCGAGCACAATAACCTTCTAGAAAGCCAGTCGCCAGGAGGAGCTTTGTGTTGCTAGGATTCCTCTCGAGTGGATTGGAGACCTATTATTCCGACCATTCTATAGTGAAAATAGCCTATACGCATATCGTGAAGAGGCTTAGTGATGTCGTTAATGTTCCTGCCTAGGAGACGGGATTTTGCTTCCTGGAACCGCAAGCGATCCGGTCAGGGTGAAAATCGTGTCGAGTACGTGTCCAAGTACGACCCCCCCCCCCAAAAAAAAATGAGATCCTGGCACGACCCCTATAAATAAGCTAATATAAAATGAGCAAATTAATTCAAATTAATTAATCAATAAATCCTGCAAAACAAATCAAAAAAAAAATCCTGCAAAATAATGTTATGGACGCCTCATCTTGTCATCTATGCACTGTCTTTCATCGCTGCACACTTTTGTGTATTTACTGAAATATCGACTCGAGGAAAGAGGCATTAACTTTGTGTGACCTCAAAGTCAGGTTCGTTCAGAAATGCACAGAAATCCTGAAGGCACGGGGTTGCGATTCAATCTTGATTCCTGCTTGAGTATATCGAAACAGCCGAGTGTATCAATCAGGCCGATTCAACGGCAGCTGCGGCGCGATTGTCACTGGGTCAGATTTGCTGAAATCCCGAAAAAAAAAACCGTCGAAATCTACACCCTCGATGAAAAGGTTGCATTCCTCCATTTCATAACCTTTGAAGCAGTTTGAGGTAGGGTTAGATAGAGCTGGATTTCGCGTTTCCAAGAAGTATTGAAATTGCTCTGAAAGCCTTCCATGCAGAAAGATAGGGTCTCTCAAATTTCGTCGAGTAAACGTCGAGGACGCTGAAATTTTCACGCGAGTTTTTGCCACTTCAAAAGCAATATCTCTCTAATGTCGTAAGGTCCTGAAAAAGGAAGATAGTTTTGGAAAGCGGAAGGTTTGCGCTTTCTGATGGTCTTCTTAGCTTTCTTCTACATTTCCTAGTTGAGAAGATATCTGCGTCGAGTATGTATCGAGGACGGATCCGGCCACCTGAAAATCCGCTCCCTCCTTCACCATTGCAAGTGTGATTCGTTGGCAACACTCGGAATGTGTCTAGAACAAATCTTTCAACGCAAACAATAAGAATAGGAGCAATCGTCATCATCCGATTTGGTATTGGTATAAGCCATGCATCCCTCCTCCACTCACAGTTGCAGAATCGATTGAAAGGTGTTATATGATGGGGACCTTCGAACGAAACTGTATTGTAGTAGACATAGTGTGTTGTGCTATTCCTGTAACCTAAAAAACAACTTCATTTGCCCAGCGCTTTTTCTTCACGGTTGTCGTTTTTCCGACAGGGTCCCTAACAACAGTTCTCAGCGAGGTATTAAGGGAGAAGGAGCGAGCGATAGGCAGAGGAGGTGCCTTTGCAGCGCGTGCGCACATGTGGCAGTCTTCTTTGCGGGGATGCACTTTCATTCTTTGTACTGCCTTCAAATACGCCCTTCTCATGAAGTGGAGGAATAGGCGACTGAACGTGCACTGCAAAGAAAATTTAATATCATGTTTTTTTCAGGATGTTTTCATTTTCTGCTGCGCTATACCCTATTACCTATCTGCACCATGATACCACTTCTGTTACTGACCCCCAAGAGTACGACCCCCCATGGACCAGCCCAACAGGTACGACCCCCCTGTCGAGGATTTCCTCGACCGATATTCACCCTGGATCCGGTTGGACGCTGAAAAGCGTTTGAAATTTGACGATTACCGTAGTCCACGTCTTGAACACTACTCAGCAGGTCCCACACGTAATTGGTGAATTCTGGGAAATGCTTGTGAAGCTTTCCCAGAGAGAAGAAGATTTCGTAACACTTTTGCCATTCTTCGCTGCCAAGTATTGGTTCTTTCCACGCCTCGCGCAAGCCACCCTTTCGTGCTGGTGTAGTCTGGTATTCCAGAAGATTCCTCTATTTGTCCGTCGTGCAGTAACAATACAAAGGCTGAAACGTTGGGATGACGATTTTTTAATCGTATCTCGCCGTTCTTCCATTCGGAATCGAAGAAGCACTCGTATACGATTGACTCTGCAGAACTTGCGGAGGTCAGCCGTTGAAAGGCTCGGCGTGTTTGCCATGGCAGGCGATTTTGTAAATTGATCGACCATGAAGGGGTGGAAGGCTGGGTTGTCAACGAATAAATCTGGAGGGCTCAAAGGACGAATTCACGCTGGAAAGGCAACCCATTTCAAATTAACTTAGGGATGGTGAGTGGTACACGAAAGAAGGAAGAACCATGAGAAACGGCCCAGAACCCGAGAAATGGGACCCCTTCCTTGCCCGTTGATTCGAGCATTGATGCGACTCTCATCGCTGTGCCCTCTTCAACACTACGCTCTCTCAGCTATCTAATCACTCGCCACGTATTGAACTACGGCGAGTGATCAGATGATCGGTGGGCGGAGATCGCCGGACCCGCCAGCTTTGAGGCATGATAGGTCGCCGAGGTCAAATTTTTCGATGCGAATTGCGCATCAGTTCGCACCCTCAGGAGGTCCGTGGGTCCCTCAACTAGGTCAATTACTTCTTCCTCGACCTTCCATTCTAATCGTGAATTCCTCCTTCAACATAAAGCTATCACATTCACAATCGGCTGTGCTGGGGCAATGGCAGACTAAGCGCAAAGGGGGGAGTATTGGGCGAAAGAGCGCAACAGGTTAGAGTGCGGTAATATATGAGATTGAAACATAGCTTGTCACGTGATTTGCTTGGTTCCGAGTTTTTGACTATAAATGAATGCCTTGATGGCAGCTGTGGAATGCAGGCGCATACATGGGCATCTGTTTTATTCGTTATGCATATCATATGAAATTAGCGAGGACTTGTTCTGTAGCGCCAACGTCTATTTCTGGACTTCACCTTCATGACTTTTCCACTACCCAAACAAAATTTCAATTCTCAAGTATCTAAACGGCACAGGCGTTGACAACTTCATCCATGGCTTTCCTGGCGGCCGCATTTCCTAAGAACCTCATTCCAAAAGTGAGATGGCAAGCAAAAAAAGCATGGCACTTGTAACGCGTCGTGTCAGACGAGCACTTCGGGTGAAAAAAGCTCTTTTTTCCTTTGACACTTCCCGGCTGCCACAAACTTTTCGCTAGCTCTTGTTGTTCCAGAAGTCTCCTTCAATTGCTGATCAATATATTAAATGCATAAGCCTTCTACTTCTGTGGAATTTTTTTGGGATGCGCCACGCATTCTCTTTGCAGTCGGAATTGTATTTAGTACCGTTGGTTTTGAACTTTGACGTTTGACATTTGAAACAGGTCATTCGAAAACCGCCGATTGGCGATACTAGTAAGCCTAGGGAAAGGGAGTAACGCCAGCAAGGACAAAGGTTGCAATCTGTCCTCTCCCAGATATTAACTTTCCGTCCTGGAGGCTTAGCATGCAAAATTATGTAAGTGGCTCAACTCACTTCAAATGCCCCCCCCCCCAATTTTTTTTGCAAAACAGATTGTGTTACCTTGAGGTGGTCCGACTTAAGTGACTTATCCAACGTTATCCCCATTGAAATTGGTGTTCAAACCTATCTTTCTGTCTAATACGAGGAAAAGATTCCCCCTCCCCCCCCCCCCCCCCGAGACGCCAACAAATTGCGGCATTTTTCTGTGATATGAGAAGGTCTTTTACAACTCGACATGCATCTTTCCTTTACTTTTCATTATTGCCTTCTTTCTCACCCTGCCTTTCTTTGTACTCGGCAACAGTGACGCACTCACAAGAAATCGTGAAAACTGAATGAGTTTTTACGTGACACATTTTTCAACTAGTGGATGTTGCTGAGCATCAAGGCTTGTCCCTCCTCTGCGCCCGAACGAAAGGTTTCCAGATTCCGCAAAAGGATGGGCAGCTGTCCAACCCTCCATCCCCCCTCCCTCTTTCTCAGACCCCTTTACAGAAACCATTCTTCATGCCAATAACCATTTAAAGCAACTGGATAGTACTGTATTAGAAGTTATAATATTTACAATACCGCCACTAACTTTTGAAATTTCTCCGCTGAGCGACGGATTTGCAGCGTCGCAAAGCGTCGCCCCTTCATAACTCCCCCCAAAGCGGGTCAAATGATTGGTGCTCTACACCATTGGACTCGTCTCTCTGTGGCGAGTCTAACCATGTGGAAAACTACGGTACTCGCCGTAAAAAATCGAAAAAAACACGCGAAAAACGCAAATTCGCGTTTCTTTTTCGTTTTTTCGTTATAACTCGCTTCAGAATTAAGATTTTCGAAATCTGAAAAAAGCATTGAACTCAGCTCGTCGAGTTCTATAAGAATGTGCTTTTAAACTTTTGGAAAGCCTTACTTCAGATTGCGCCATGCACTCGAGCTTTGGCTCGAGAAAAAACTGTTTGAATGTGGTGCGCATATAATCCCGCTTATGCATCATGATCGTTCTTCAGAGAGATGGGTCTCAGCAGTTGCCCCAGAACGCGCCGCGTATTCAACATCGTCCATTGTATTGTGAATGGATCGATTGCTTTTTCCAGATTTCATGGTCCCTATTCCACAGCGGCGCGTTAAATGACTTAACACGTAGTCCCTGCGCTCAACATCTCCTCCTCTCGTGTTCAAATGGAAATCATAGATCATTTTTCAGGCAGGACAGTTAGCCTATTTGGTGAAATTTTCCAATGTTTGAGCGAAGGTTTTTCCGAAATCTGAGGAGGTAGAGGGAAAATCTCTTTACTGTTGTAGAGTACGCTTACTTGAGTGTAGAAATAAGATGACATACTTGCTTGTAGACGAGCGCTTCCGCCGTGCTGTGGCTGTGAAAATGCCTCCTCGTCATGCCCTTGTGGAAAGATCAGATTTTTTGCATTTCCAGATGAACTCGCAGACCTGAGATGTGCCCCATTGGATTCCCCGTGAAAAATGCTATCGAATGTTATGCATTACTCCTCCCAGTTGAAACTTTGGTTTTTCACCGTTTTCAGACTTCCCCTATTGCCGATTGGGCATCATTATTCCACTATTACTGCCCCAAAATCTCAAAGTTTCATTTTTCGTCGAAACTTTGCCTATTGGGGTAATTCGATGCCCTGA